CAGTACAACCAAGATTACAGATTTTAGATCCAACCAATCGATGGATAATCTTTATCTAATGCAAATCTATTTTTTAAAAAATGTCATCTATGAGATTCGAACTCTAGACCTGCCACTTGGTGGGGTGATGACTAAACCACTTCACTAAGCTACCACATCTCTAATTGCAATATTAGTGTTCTTTTTAGAAAGCTTATTTTTAACAAAAAGAACTAAGTGGTCCCAAAAAAAATTTATGACTAATAGTGATTGTGGATTTTTAAAATATAGTGTATGATTTTGCCAAATTCTTTTTATCTAAAAATCTATTCCTATTTTATTTATCCATTCTTTTTTGTTAGCTCTAATAACTATGTCTAGTAGAAACTCAGAATGTGAAATATTTTTTAATTTAAAAATAATTATTGGCAGTAACCTATTACTATTTGCTATACATACAAATACAATAGTGAAATATAATTTTTTATAACTACAAGTTCTAATACTAATGATTTTATATTCTTTATTATCAATAGTTATATTACTTGGCATATCAAAAGCTAGAGGGGTTTTATCTATATTACCTATTAATGACAGTGGGTAATTATATTAAAGATAGTAATACTGAATAAAATTTAAAAATTCTTACTTTTGTATTTCTAATTTTGATAGCATTTTTGTGCAACTATTGTTTTATGATAGTTACTATAATTATATTATTGCAAAAAACTATCAAGCCACTTATTACTCCACTTGAACTTATCAATATTAGAATAACAAAGAGTATATTATAGAAGTTTTTTTTTAAGTCATGTTCTTATACTAAGATAAAAACTTTTAAGAATAAACCATTTATTTTTGACATTTAATTATAGTATGCTTGGAAGATATTTTTACAGCACATGTTCAACAAAAAAAAGCCCAGCAGTGGACAGCCTGAAAAAACTTTTTATAACTTCTTACCTTGAAAGAATTCCTGGAGCTACTATACATGGAACAGCCAAAAGATTCCAAATTGAACCCAAGCAAATTTGGGATTGGAAAAGCAAGTGAGAGAAGTTGTTACTAGCTCAACATTATATTAAATGTCTTAATACTGGTTCTTGCCCAAATTATCCTGATCTTAAAACAGAACTTACTGAATAGGTTTGAGATTTATACATTAACTTAAAACCAGTTAGTCATGTTATGGTACAAACCAAAGCTATCATTAGCAAAATTTAGAAATAAGAATCTTATATCTTAGAAAAAAGTCTTATATTCATATCTTAAAAAAAACAAATTTGATCGAAAAAAATTTTTCAAAAAAAAAAAAAAAATTTATAAAAAAAACATATTTAATCCCCCTTCTTAATAATATAGTTATCATAAATAAACCTTAAATGTATCTTAAGTGACATAAAAAATTTAGCATTATAAAAGTATAAAACAACATTTAAAAGAACGAAAGAAATCATATATCGCTTCCACTGGTAGGTATTCTGGTACCTATATGTACGGTACCACCTTACAAGGTACCCCATTCGTACCCTCTGCCATACAAGGTACTCGGGGGTACAAATCAAATTTTTAACACGTGAAATTTAATGTACCCGGGTACGGTACTGATTATAACAAGATAAAAGACTTTGTCTTAATTATATATTACATGTGATGAAATTAATATTAATATTCAACTTTATGTTGCGAGACAAGTTTTATACATAACAAATATTTAAACTTTAATAATAGGTGATTTTAAAAAAAGTGTCTTTATTTATTGTACATATAGTACTAGTTTTTATTTTTATTCCCGCCAGTTAATAAATAATAATAATAATAATAATAATAATAATAATAATAATAATAATAATACATAAAAGTATCATATTTACGACATTTTTGTTTCTTAAACTATTTTTGCTGAGTTCTTAAATAAAAGATAATGTAATTGATAACTTATTCGTACAATAATTTAAACTATAAATAAGAAATATAAGAATAAAGATTCAGTAGTATGCTTATCAACAACTTTAAGACAAATACTAAAAATACTAGGCTTTAATGATAGAATGATAGAATATAGTAATTATCATAGAATAAGTCGCCAAAGACGTTATTATTAGTGGATGAATTATTTAAGAGATCGTTGTTTGGCATAATGTATTCAGTATCGGTACGTGTTTGATAAAGAAAGCGACCGACTTCTTGAAAATCTTGAATGGTTTGTTCATCATAAGCGTCATAATGAATAAATTCATCAAAATTATTAGGTTGTGGATATCCTAATGGCGAAGATAAAGTCGATACGTGGCTCTGCATTGCATTAGAGACTGCGGAGACTAGCATAGGATTTCTATCAAAGTCATTTCTAAGATCATTAAGATCATTGACCTCTTCTGAGAGTTTGCCATTCTTCTTCGGTCCTCGCTTTTGACCTGAATTATCAAAAGTACACTCAAGATTAAGTCGTGTACAGCGTTCACAAAATGCTTTACCAGTGCATTTTGCATGTTTTTTTCGGCAATTTGTACATGCTTTAGTCGTATATGGTCCTCGTTTTTTTGGTTGTTTCTGTCCTTGTTGGTGTTGCTCTTGATGTAGAAAAGACATGATCAATCAAGGGTACAGTAATTAAATATGTTATTATTATAGACACGATCGTTAACGAAAAAGCCTTGTCGCTTTAATCAAAAATATGAACAAAAAAAAAAAAATTATATATTTAATGCGTAAAATTTTATGAAATTATTTGATAAAAAAAAAAAGGGAAAGAACGCAAAATAGTACGATATTTATATATTGATAAAAAACAGCTCGAACTTGTAAGCATAAGGCGGAAGATTCAAATTTAATTTTTTTTTTATATGTGTTACTGTATAATATAGTACTTAGTTGATTAAATCGATTAACAACTCAACTAATTTAATTACTTTTTGTCCTATTTTATTATGCTAATCAAATCTTACGTATTGATATGTTTGCAGTTTGGGGATTTGGTATGTGCAGTTTGGGATTTGCAATAATGCACACAAAATATAGTATAGTACTTAGTTGATTAAAATCAACTGACAACTCAACTAATTTAATTTGTTTGTTCACATATCATACGTAAATATAGTAAGGACATACAATATATCATTATATTCAATTTAGTTGAAAGTTGAATAATCGATTAATCAACTAAGTACATTAACATAATACAGTACGGAAAAACATCGGTTGCCCAAATTAGACAAAAACTTTATTTCAATTCCAAGTCCGTAATAAGCCGAAATCTACCAATTTCGTTCACTAAATATAACTCCTGTTTAATCTAATTTTCGATTAAAGAATTTTATAAGTAATACGTAATAATTTATTTAGAGTTTATAACAGTTTTTATTTTTCATATGTTAAAACCGATTGAAACCGGTTTTAACATAAGTCGGTTCTAAACTCTAATAATATTTTAAAAAAATTTTTAGATGCTTAACCAATTTTCATACGAAATTATGAGAATAGGCTAGAACAACAGAGGATAGTTCAAACTGGTATTGCAGTATAATTTGATTTCTTTAAGTTATCTGTTATAGAAAACATATGTTTTTAAGTAATTTGTATAGCATGTACAGTATAAACGGATGGCTATCTTGACAAATAGAAAATAAACTAAGAAATTAAAATAATTTTTTTTTTATTATTATAAACTAAGAAACTAAAATAATTTTTTTATTAGTCATAGATCAAAATTATTAGTAATTGTAGTCGATTTTTTGTCGACTTAATTGACTTAGTTTTATGCAACTATAGGTCAGATGGTTTAAATCAAAAATTCATAGCAAACGAAATAACCAGAAAGGTAATTGGTATAATTAAATGACTAAAGTTCCATTCGACAAAGCCAAAGAGATATAAAAACCATGACCCTCTGTGCATATGCATTATAAACTATAACCACTTTTGCTAAAATTCAGCGGCTTTTGATAAAGTCGTTTGTAAGTGATTATCTTTTCATTTTGCTGTTAATTTATTTTTTTTTTTTTTTTTAGTAATCCTCTAATACAAACCCAACTTTTTTATGCCATTTATTTTACGAAACTAGTAATGCAATAAAATATTAATAAACCCAAAAAAAGATTTTTATAAATTTTAATGGTTTATTCTAAAAACAATGAAGTGAAAAACTAAAGTAACAAGGCTTATTAAACTAGAGAAAATCGGTAGGCTTTGTATCCATGTGACCATGCAGTTTTAGCCAAATTTAAGATCAGGAATAGTTGAAGTGAAAAGCAAATCCATAGATAAAATTGCTTTGCCGGTTTCAATTTTACTTTAATTTTTCTTTGTCGAATCACTTCAAGAGCACCTTGAAAAATTCTGCATAAATCACATGATTTGCCTTTTTTAAAGATTATTAAATCATAACGATAACGATAATGATGATTTTGTATAACTTTACTATTGCAAAAAATTTTATCTTTACATATGGTAGCATTAATAATAACTTATTAAATGCAAAAAATATTGAAAAAATTTTACTTTCTAATTTAAAACAAGATATTTGTCAACTATTCGAATATAATAAATTATTTTGAATGAAGTTTTAAAAATTGTGGAACAAAAAAAATTGCAATAAGCGACGGGCACAAGCAGTTCAGACAAAAATTCGATAAATGATATTAATAATCGTCAAAGATGGATTACAAATCCGCACACCTGGCTTTATCTTTCAAACAATTCTTAATTTTAAGTTCGAATTTTTTATTTGAAACAGTGTTAATTTTAGGATTTATTTAAGTTAGTGTATTTTTATTCGAATATGTACAAGAAAAATACAATGCGTGTATTTCAAAACTTATGTTTAATTTAAACCGTTATTAAAAATAACACATATGCGAATTCTTAATCATATGATTTACGCAGAATTTTGTTACAATATAGATTACGTAGTAAATTGTATTTGTTTGAATTAGTGTTTTGAACCGTCAACCGAAAGTTCAACCGGGGCTGATCCGGGTAGACTTCCGGGTATTCCCAGCCAATCGC